TCATCTTTTCAATAAAATTAAGATAAGTTATGTATCTTCGTTAGTAATAATGTAAGAGACTTTCTCTTTTCTTAATTAATAAATTTGTGGCAAGACCTTGCTAGAACAAAAAAAAAAATGACATTCATCATCTTTTCCATCTTCATTCTGTAAAAATACCTGTTGTGACCTAGTAATGATGAAGATGTGACACAATTGGTAGAAACTTTATTGCTTCTACATAATATTAAGATTGTCAACATATCACTATTATTTCATTCATCAGAAAGTAGAATTAAATATCATCCTCCTTTTTTTGAACGGATTGGAACTTGATGCCTTCTTTCAAAAATACCAAATTGCATTAGAAGTACAAGGGGCTCAACACCGGCTTCATAATACTGGCTGATATAAGGATATTAAAAAAAGAACCATTTATCTTATTGAAGATGGTATGATGAGAATCCAGAAGTTACTATTCCTGAAAAGATATATAAATATAGATAGTGTATTAATCGAGAAATATTAATCTCTCATAATTAACAACTTTATAATAACAATCAGTATTTCGTGATCTGTAATTATGATCACATGTGGCCATACATGCGGATTAACACTTACGAAATAAAATTTTATTAATGATAGTGAAGCAATATATATAACGATAAATTATTTTTTTTGTAGGCGATCATGAGATTACAAGTAAACATATATCCAAGGGGCGAAACTTTATTAATTATTAACTATACAACAATGATAAGTTAATACGTAATCAAATTTTATTATGATCATGGCTTTGCAATACAATTATTTTTTGATAAGTAATGTTCATGACATAAATTTCAACTATTTTCGCTTATTTCGTGTTTTCTCAGGTGAGTTTATAATTTTTGGTTTCTTTACCAACTTATTTTCCGTTGGTTTCTCCAAATTTCTCTTTCTGGTAATTAGCTGAACCTTCTTCTTGCTAAGTTCACTTATCATATTTTTCGTTTCATCTAACTTCTTTTTGTATTCTTTTAATACAAGATATATAAGTTCTAAACTATAAAGGTCTTCACGAGAAGAAGGAAGGAAAGCTTCATACATCAGGACCAAATGAAATAGGAAACCAGAAGAGGCAAAAGCATAGACTCTAATCTTGCGACCTAGTTTCCATTTCGATTTAGTGTTCATATATGCACTTATAAATTACAGTATATCATAAAATTTTTGTATTTTTAAATTATAATACTTACCAATCACTGCAAGACCCCACCATACCAATTCACTTACATCCACACCCATCAAATGATCTCCAGCAATCGCCCATAAGTCCCGGAGTTCTAATCCAAGTTTAAGGGTATCATCCCACTCTTTAGATCGTGAGCATTGTGGGAGACCACCAGAAACTTCTAAACAGCTGATAACTGGAGTCCAGCTAAGGTTCTGGTATTCGATCATCGCGTCAATCTTGAATCCAATTCGTGCACGGTCATTTGGGTCTCTCTCTTTATTTCGTCGTGTAGCTGTTGCTGCCAGTGATTGTTCGCCGCTAAATAAAAAAATATCAATGATCACATTTTGTATGAAAACAAGGTAATTTATATTTGTACAAGTAACTTACTACTTGACCCAAAAATAACCATCTTTTCCAATTGTTGCATCGAGCAGAGGGACAACATTTCGAAACGTGTGTTCGACTTCAGGCAAATCGTTCTTTCTAGTCATTGTTATGGAATCAAGGCTAGAGGAGATACACGGCCATTAGATCTCATTTATCTGTTAAATAACAAACTATATATCTACACTTACATGCGACTGAAAAGCTTTCTAAAAGTTTTTTCCTCTCCTGTCACTGCTGGTATGTCATCAACATCTTCTGCCTATTAATAAAAAATATTTTAATATACACGATTTATTATTTTAAAATCAAAAGATTACTGATTACCTTCAAGAGTTTGTCAATAAATTTTGCTGCTTCTTCAGTTAGTTTTGGAACACAAAAACATATTTTTGGAAGTGCACTCAACATTTGAGGAAAAACATCAGATAATAACTTTAATGTTGGACTATGAAAGCCAGAGTGATCGATCAAATAGTAGTAAAGGGGACTGAAAAATAATATTAAACTTTTGACAATGTTGTAAATACAACTATATAAGAAGTAAAAATAAAAGAAACTCACTCGAAAGCACATTTTGTTTTTTTTTAGTTGTTTACGGTATGCTTCTACCTTCTGCATTACTGCATCCCAGTCTAAACCTTCTGAGTTGCCCTTA